CTTTCTTTACACTTTTCTTTGAGCACATAAAATTTTACACAAAATATTTATTTATAGACTTTTAATAAACTATAAAATAATCATTACTCAAAAACTAAAAATAGTAACTTACCAAAAAACACAAAATAATAACTTTTTAAAAATTATTTGAGTCGCTTACCTAACAACTAGATTGTTTAACTCTTTTCTTAGGTCTCATTCATTTAACCAATTTAAGTTTTCAATTCTAATTTTATTACAGTTAAAGTGCTCATAAAAAGTCACATATAATTTTTTTTACTATAGTATAAAGTTTTCACATAAAATTATATTTTAACTCAAATTAAAAATTCAAATTCACAAACTGAACGAGACTTTAATTTTCTCTCTCTCTCTCCTTTTTTCAAAAACTTCATTTTATTTTCATGTCCTCGTTATGGTTTGCTTGTTTGGTCAGGAAAGAATATATATCATTCATTTTCGTCACTATATTCTCTAAAAGGAAAGTTGAACAATGATGACATAATAAACTCATTACCTAAACAGTAAACTACAGATTTCTACGCACGCAACAACCTAAAATTCATAAATTCTTATGCGCTTTTGTCAAAGCTCAAGAAAAGCATACACATCTAAAGATGGAGCTTATATAGCTGCCATAATTTCCTCTCTTTCTTTTCTCATCATTTTCTGCTTTTCCTTGCAAGAAATGAGAAAGTTTTGAATTGCCCACCTAGAAAAGTTTTCTATTAATCTTTTATCTGATTGATTTTCAGGTTGTAGTTTTGAAATTTTTTTTTTTGTTTTTTTTTTTTTTTTTTTTTTTTTTTTTGTTTGTTTGTTTGTGATATATCATGTTTCTGATCTGAAATTTTCTTATTCGACATTTTGCTAATTGTATGCCTCTTTGTTAAGTGCTGATTTATCCAGATATCTGCTTTTTGCTAAAAGTAATGGCTTGGTATCAGATTTGCTTTCTTTCCCAACTCTGTAACGTAAGCTGGTAAGTGGCTCATGTTTCTTTTGCCAATTTTTATCTGATTAATGTCTTGTTTTACTAGTTTCTTGCATATTCTATCTGTTCTTCCTACTTGGAAACTTTATCTGATCAATAGGAAAATGACTCACTGAGTTTTTGGTAGTCTTAATTTCTGCTCTGAAATTTATGCAATTTCTTCATTTAATTCCTGTGTTAATATGGCTTGGACCGCACTAAATGGAACGCGTTCGAATTTTTTTGGTACAAACATTATAAGGGCTGATCATGGTTTGTAATTTGGATTCTCCTTATCAATACTAACAAAAAATTTTGTGGTGTTAACAAGATATTGTGTTTTACTCCATGTTTTCAGAAATGATGCTATTATCCGTTTCGTAGGGGGATATTTTTAACACGATTTGCAAAATTTTTGGATAAGTGAAACATTTCTGAAAACATATGATGAAACACAGCATTTCTATATATCCTAAGGTAGAGAATCTTATGGAAAAGTCTTGTCAATCTTAAATAGTAGTCAATCTCAAAGCCTTTTTTTATGAAAGGCTTTTGTGTGTATGGCCTTTAATATTCCTTTCCACTTGGTCTTATTCCAAAATGACAAAAATTATCTCTATAGTCCAACTTAATTACATGCAATGAGGGTCTAAATATTCTTTTACTATATACTTTAATATGTTATTGAGACAATATTGTACATGCAATAGATTGTGAATCCATGTGCAGCCAGCCAACTATTTGCTACAGTCCTGATTACACGTCTTTCAAGTTCACTGAAAAAAACGAGGGTATGAAAGAAGAAAAGGAACACAATAAAAGCAATTTCGAAGATCTGTTTGTTTCTAATCTGAAGAGCAAAGATTGTGCCCTTAGTGGTTCAGAGGAAAGGACAGAAGAAAAAAGCCATTTTATTGCAAAGGATGATTCCATGGACTATGAATTACCTGAGCTGGTTGTTTTCCTTCAAGAGAGCAGTTACCATTTTGTTAAGGACGTATGCATTGACAAGGGAATGCATTCTCATGGAAAGTGCTTGGTAGAGAATTGCGAGTTGGACCATAAGATCATCTCTCGCATACTTGAATCGGGTGCTGACAGCAAAATGATCGAATCAAAAGTGCAGACTATGGTGACGTTGTCATCCATTTCGAAGGAGTCAAGAACAACCGATGAACACGGCCACAGTAAGAACGGTTCTAAGAAGAAGGAATCATCGAACTCGGTGAAAGACGTTTCAGAGTTTGATGCAGGAGATGAAAGCTCAACTGATCATCCTGTTGGGGAGGTGAGGCATTACTTGCTTTTACATGTCACAGAAATTCAATCAATTGTCTTGTTCAAGATTTATTATTGCCAGCTAAGATGGGGATAGTTTTTTTAACAGCATAAGTCATTTCCACTTTTCACACAGCTTCTCTATTGATCCTGCTAATACCAGTTTGAAAATTGTCCTTAAAAGTTTTCCCCATATTGGCCATGTAACTTCCTCTAGAAGAAATCTGTATATGAGCCAGATTCAAAGTCAAAACACGTGGTGCATATTAGTGATGGATTTTCTTCTTTAGGAGCGTCTCATTTTCTTTCCTATCTTCCATGATTGGAGGAGAAAATACTAAACATTCCAAGGATAATAGACCTGTACTCTCAACATTTGCATTACTGTGACCAACAATTTTTCTACTTTGAGTGTTTTCTTTTGTCCTTGAGAATAATCTGCCGACGGGGTTCAGTGTAGTACTCCGAAAAATGACCATTTGATTAATGTGAACATTAGCATCGGAAAAGGGAATCTAAAATGGAAATCCAGTGGAATCATTTGAAAAACGTTTTCCAAAACTTGTTTCTATTTCCCTCTCTCTAGTTTGCTTTTTTAAAATATATATATATATATATATATTCACATGCATATTTATACTTGTTCAGTAGTCCTAGTTGGAAAAGAGACCGAGGCATAAAAATATAGGCCAAAGCATTAACAGGGTTCAATTTGACAACCAGCTGAAACAGCTTAATACACCTGCTTTTCTTACCGCAAAGAGACATGATCTCCAATGTCATCTAGTGTAGGTCTTTTGATAGCATAAAAACATATCCTAAATCTGTCTTACAGAAGGGCTTTTTTCTTATTCCCTTTTCTTTGACCCTCTTGCTTTTCGTCACCTCGAGGAGGCACACTATGACACTCGAGATTGTGTCCAAAGAAAATTTCAGAAAGAAAAAAATGTGTTTGGGAAGTCATGATGCATATATTGGATGCATCTATTAGAAAATTTCACACCCACAAGTTGGTGTGCACTCACTATCATTTTTTGCACCATTCTCCACATCTAGAGGCCAAACAATAAGATTCATTGTTAATGATAAAATCCACAAACTCTCAGCACTTTTTCATTTTCATGACCCTCATATAGGATTTAGAGATCTTAGCGGCAAATTCTGTAAACAAAACAATATGGCATTGATTTCTCTTTAAATTGTTATACAGGTACAAAAGGCGGTTTCAGCAAGCTCTTTGGAAAGTAGAAAGAACTCTTGTGATAGTGATATGTCTATGGCCACAACAAGTGGCAGAGAGGAACATTCACACAATCCAGATAATCATCAGCAGGGTTCAGAAACAAGAAATGTTGCTCCCATTAGCACTGAAAATGAATCACCAAGCCACATTCACCAACATTTTGGTGCAGAATCAAGCCACTTTTCATCTGGTCATTTCTCAGCCCACATAGCACACCATGGAGCAGCATCACCGAGCTTTCGAAGCGTCTCTCATCTGTCAAACAGCAGCACTACTAGTTCAATGTCTTTCGCTTTCCCCATGTAAACCTGCTCTGATTCAACAGCACTCTTTTAAAAAAAGTCTTACTCTTTAATCTCTCACCGGAATAACTTGCTGTTTTAAAACTCTCCTTTTTCCTTAACGTGAGCAGATTAGCCTCGGAATGGCATGGCAGCCCTGAAAGAATGGCGACACCCGAAAAGAAAGAGTTGAGAAGCAAGCGCCGAGGGAAGTTTGCCCGGTTTCTCTGCTGTAAATTCTGAGGTGTTTGTATAGTCCTCTTGGACTTCTTGAATTTTCAATCATTGATTCTTTTGTTTCTTTATTCACTTTGTTGCTCTGGTTCTGGTGTGCATATTGACCAAATGTTCTGGTGGTAAATCATGACCATATTGTTTTTATTAAACACACAACCAATTATTCCATTTCAGAGGCAATGAGGCATTGGTCATTTTTCATACATACATACATATATATATATATATATGCACACACGCAATGTGTATTAACTTGTGTCCTCTTAAAAAATCTAATTAAGTCCCATCCTACGGTATCCCATACCGTTTGATCTAGTACTTATTGTTGGAATATTTATATAGACTAGCACAAATCATTGTTAATTCACTCAAATATGTTACAAATTAAAACATGGCTTTATGGACAATTATATTTTAATATGATTTATGCATGATATTATAATAAGGGTCGTAATGGAATGGACAATTTTATCACTAATGTGCTTGAGGCCCTTGAGCCAAATATCCTCTCTCTATCTCAACCTTCTCGTTAAGGCCCAACAAGGCCCATTTTCAAGGTTGCAGACAAAACAAAAAAACAAAAGGGGATTTTGTGCTTAACCCCTGTGCATGTGCTTGTGTGGTTTGTGTGAGTGTGGAGAGAGGACGAGAAGAGAAGAGTTCAAAAACCCCTCCAAGCTTCGTTTAATTTTCTCAGCTTGCTGATCGGATTCCGGCCAAAATGACTAACGTTATTCCGCTGCCAGCAGGAGGAGGTAATCCTAAAACCATCAATTTTCTATATGCTTCAAGATCCAATTTGATAGTGTGTTTTTTGAATTCAATGGTTTAATTGGGGTTTTAATCTCATTTACAAGTATTGAGAACCTATTATTTCTAGCAAATGGTATCAGAGCAAACTTATTGGATTTGAAGCTCGAGTTTTTTCTTTTTTTTTGAGTTTGCTGCACGTCCATGTTCTTCATGGAGTTTTTATTTTTTATAACTCTTTGAGTGAAATTGATGGTTGAAAACTAAAGAGAATGAAATTTGGAGCAAAATCCATCCAAAAACATCAAAAATGGACAACCGGAACTTACTTTTCCTACGAGTTGGGTCACGGATCCGATCGGACCCGATCTGTAAAGTTTAAGAGGTTAGGGAAGATCAAAACGACATGTCGTTTTTTCATCCATGTGAAAAATGACATGTCGTTTGCAAGGTTCACTGGGGCTGCCTCATTCCATTTGCCCCAAAACGACATGTCGTTTTCTAAGGACTAGATTTGCACAAAAAAAAAAGGGCGTGCGTGAGGGCGCGCGAGATGTCTGATTTATGCCTTCTTTTCACTGTTTTGCTTTAAATTTCATTTACTATTTGTCCATACTATTTATTTGACGTTTTAACCACACTAAGACTATAGTTATGGATATTTTGTATTGTTTGAACATATTTTTTTGGTTAATTCTCACATTGATCAAATATCATTTTCCTCCTGGGCTTCTCTATGCTGGTTTGTTTTGATATTTGAATGCCATTAATTTGTCATCTTATTTGCTAAATTAAAATGGCATGTTAAATTGTGACAAAATGACGATCTTGAATGTTCATGTACTTGCCTGTCATAAGTCAGAACATGTCAAATAGTTTTGCGTTTTTAAATTGTTCATTTCTCCCACAACTAAACCTATAATACTAAGATACATGCGGGTGATAAAATTATCATGTCGATAATTTTATTACTTGATAGGATGCTTAGATTGGTGAAGGGATTTTATTAAGCATCATGAACCGTATGATTTGTACTATCCTATCGGTGGTTGGATTAATGCATTTGGTTGTGGTGATTGGTAAATTGCCCTTACCTACGAATGAGTCCTATTTTGCTCAAAAGGACTCTAGCATGTGATGATCATGTTATTTTGGATCATTGATAAGGCTAAGAAATGGGCAAATAGCATGATATTATTTTCACATGCCTAATGTTGAATGCCCCTTTTGTTTCTTCACCCTTGAGCAGTCCTCGAATCTCTGCCATTTTGATGCTAAATGGGACAAATTACAAGCAATGGATTGAATCTCTCATGATGAATCTGACTGTTATAAGGTTGGACTTGGCCTTGAGGGAGACTGAACCTCCTAAACCCACTGATAAGAGTTCTGCAGATGACAAGAAACTTTAAAAGATTGTCACAAGTTTAAAGCTTGAATAGAGCATAAGAAAGAGAACGATAAGCAGAAGGAGTCCAACTAATGTAGAGCAGCATGTGTACATGGGAGATGGTACAAGAGTCAAAGTTGATTTTTTGGGGATAGTCAAACTATAGCTAACTACAAGACATTTTTTGGAGTTACATGATGTTGCATACATACCCTCGATTAGGAGGAATTTGATCTCTGTATCTATTTTGGATAACTGTGGATATAGTTTTCTTTTTGGAAATGGAAAAGTAGACTTGTACCATGACTCAATTTTGATTGGAAATGGAACTTTGTGTGGTAATTTATATAAGCTTGTACTAGATGATGCCTCTAAAACTGTTGCTTCCTCTTTTAATACTTTTGTAGTTTCCAAAAGTCCTAGATTTAATGATAAGTCATCCATGTTGTGGCATAGGCGTTTGGGTCATATTTCTAGATAAAGGATGGAGAGAATGATAAGAGATGGCATTTTACATGATATTGATTTTTCTAATTATTCTACATGTGTCGATTGCATCAAAGGAAAGTTGACTGCCAAGGTTAGAAAGAGTAGATCCAATAGATGCGTTGATTCATTAGAGTTTATCCATACTAATATATGTGGACCATTCATCCCTCCAGCTATGGGTGGTTATAGGTATTTTATTACCTTCATTGATGACTTCTCCCGTTACGGTCATGTTGAGCTTATCTGGGAAAATTCTAACTCATTAGAAGCTTTTAAAGCTTTCAAAGCTAATGTTGAACTTTAGAAGGGAAAGAAAATCAAATCAGTTAACTCTGATATATGTGGTGAGGGAAAGAGAATCAAATCAGTTAACTTTGACAGAGGTGGTGAATATTATGGCAGGTATAATAAAACTAGAAGGAATCCTATACCTTTTGCTAGATTCTTACAGGAATGTAGCATTGATGCACAATATATGATGCCAGGAACTCCTGAACAGAATGGGATTGCAGAGAGAAGAAATCTCACCCTTCTTAATATGGTGCGATGTATGTTGATTAATTCTACATTGCCGGAGTTTTTATGGGGTGAGGCCTCGAAGACAATAGCTTATATTTTGAATCAAGTGCCAAGTAAGTATGTTTCAAAGACACCCTATGAGTTATGGTCAGCTAAGAAGCCAAGCTTGCGGCATCATCATGTTTGGGGTTGTAAAGCGGAAGTGAGACCCTATAATCTGCAATCCAAGAAGCTTGATCCGAAGACCATTATTGGTTTCTTTGTTGGTTATTGTGTCGGATCAAGAGGCTCTAGGTTTTATTGTCCATATCACACCACCAGAGTGATTGAGTCTGACAGAGCTGTTTATCTTGAGAATGATTCCTTTTCTATTCAGGGACCAAGAGAGATTGTATTCAAGGAAGAACGTGTTATTGTCCCTATACCTGTGTTTGATACTCTAGTGGTTGGTCCAGCGATAGGTGGAGGACAAGTTGTTACTCATGCTGTGCCCACAGATCAAGCAGTGTAGGAGGTGCCAGATACATATGGTGTTGATATTCTTTTAAGGAGGTCACAAAAGGTTCGTAGACCTGCAATTCCATATGACTATATTGTTTATTTGCAGGAACATGAGTATGATATTAGTGATACCTCTGATCTAGTCACTTACCAGGAAGCCATTAGTAGTTCTCAGTCCTCATTCTGGATAGATGCCATGAAAGATGAGATGAGTTCTATGTCACAGAATGATGTGTGGGATTTAGTGGAATTGCCACAGGGTTGTAAACCCATTGGGTGTAAATGGGCATTTAAGACCAAATTTGACTCTGAAGGACAAGTGGAAAGGTTCAAAGCTAGGCTGGTCACTAAGGGATTCAGTCAGAGATAAGATGTTGATTATAAAGAAACTTTCTCACCAATTTTCACTAAAGACTCATTCGGGATTATCATGGCGATTGTGGCTCATTTTGATTTGGAGCTTCATCAAATGGATGTGAGAACTGCATTCTTAAATAGAGACTTGGATTCGGATGTTTACATGTCCCAGCCTGTCAGTTTTGAAGCTTCTGGTAAAGAACATTTGGTTTGCAAGCTCAAGAGATCTATTTATGGATTGAAACAGGCATCAAGGCAATGGTATTGAAGTTTGATCTTATAGTCACCGCCAATGGCTTCAAGGAGAATGTTGTTAATCAGTGCATATATATGAAGGTCAGAGGGAGCAGTTACATATTTCTGGTTTTGTATGTTGATGATGTTTTGCTCGCATCCAATAACAATGACTTGTTGCTTGAGACAAAGCAAATGCTATTTGGCCATTTTGATATGAAGGATCTTGGGAAAGCTTCTTATGTTTTGGGAATACAGATCCTTCGAAACATGACTAATGGTATTCTCATATTGTCTCAGAGAACCTAGATTGATCGTGTTCTAAAGAGGTCCAATATGCACTCTTGTTCTCCTGGTAAGGCGCCAATTGTTAAAGGTGATAAGTTTTCTAAGGCCCAACGTCCATAGAATGATAAAGAGAAAGATCAAATGAAAGTTTTCCCATATGCATCAGTTGTTGGCAGCCTCATGTATGCTCAAGTATGTACACGACCTGATATTGCATTTGTTGTGGGCGTGCTTGGTAGATACTTAAGTGATCTGGACTAAGCCATTGGAAAACGGCTAAGAAAGTCATGAGGTATCTTCAGGGTACCAAGGATCATATGTTGGCATATAAGCATTCTAACACTCTTGACATTGTTGGATTTTGTGACGCTGACTATGCAGGCTGCGTGGATGATAAGAGATCCACTTCTGGGTATATTTTTATGATGGCAGGAGGAGCTGCCTCATGGAAAAGTGTCAAACAGACACTTACAGCTTCCTCGACCATAGAGGCAGAGTATGTGGTGTGTTATAAGGCTACTTGTCATGCAATATGGCTACAGAATTTCATTTCAACTTTGGGAGTTGTTGGCTCAATTCATAGACCGCTAAAACTCTTTTGTGACAATTTCGTAGCTGTATCTTTCTCTAAAAATGCTAGGAGC